GAACCAGCCTTTGCCGTAATGTGTTTTGAGGCAGTGCTTAAAAGCCTGAATTTTGCCTGAAACTCTCAGACTGAAGAAGTCTCTTGGAAGAGAGACGAAACGTTTCATTAAAGAAGAACCCGTCCAGAGGACCTATACATCTTTTTTCCTTTTAATTACTCAAGTAAAATACAGATACCCAAAAATTCTACTTAAGTACAGTAAAGAAGTATTTGTACTTAGTTACTTTACAACTCTGACCGTATCCCTTTTTGTCTTCCACTTAACTGATACACCTAATAAAAATGTAGATAATACACAAATAAGATATGTGGCACTAGTAAAAAGAAGAAGTATTCTGGTTTTAAAAATGTAGAGAACACACACACACAGGATTGTGGCTTCTTCCTGTGTAAACTCAGTTCTACCGCGTGGCACTCAAGAAAAAAATCGAGGGGGTCGAGGAGGGGCCACTGGGTCAGGTTTCAGCGGAGTGCGACCCTTGATTCGTTGACGAACGTTTGTTTGAGCTCAGCCTGCGCAGACCGCTGATCTCCAAGCGAAAAGACAGCAAGCGACCATCAGCTTGTAGCCCATCCGTATTATATACATATCGTCGGTTGAGCTGCTCAAAGCGCACGCGAGTCCTCCCCACTGTCTCAGCAGCATCCTTCCCAGGAGGAGGAGAAAAAAGCGGAGCAGCTAAACACGGGAAAGTTTTCGTTTGAGTCGCGAAAAGAAGAGCAGACATGGATGAAAACGAGGTCTTTGTTTTACTGTGAAACAAACATATTCAACCCCCGGTAGAAACATGATAACATAGCCTTTTACTTTGGAATGTGTTTGTTTTGTGTGAGRGGACGTGACGACGTTAGTGGAAAAGTTTGGAGCGGAGCAGCGTCAGGCTATGGCGCGCGACACTGAAGACGCCGGCGTCGCCAAAGCAGCTTCGGAAGTCAAGAGGCAAAAAAAGAAGAAGCCCAAGGAGAACAAAACCAGGACTGTGCACGCGAATATACTCTACGACAACGCCAAGAGGGAGGAAAACCCCAACAGACACTACGCAAACAACAAAATTAAGACCACCAAGTACACCGTGCTGTCATTCCTGCCCAAGAACCTCTTCGAGCAGTTCCATCGCTTTGCTAACGTTTACTTCGTTTTCATCGCGTTGCTGAACTTCGTCCCGGTTGTGAACGCTTTTCAGCCCGAACTGGCCTTGGCTCCGGTGGTCTTCATCCTGTCGGTCACTGCCATCAAAGACTTGTGGGAGGACTACCGAAGACACAGGTCGGATAAAGAAATCAATCACATGGACTGTCTGGTCTACAGCAGGTAAGCTCAGCTCGGCCTGCGAGTCCAGCTGGTGCCAGAACCTCGGGTTCTGGTCCTGCTCACGGGCAATCTCGTGCACCCGCGTCATATGATGCAGAAAGGCAGGCAAAAACAGAACGATAAAAATAAATGTTTTGATTTTTTTTATACGTGTCATGCAAACTGGCCTTTGATTTAACTGTAAAAGTGCAAAAAAGTTTCATCATCCCCAGCTTTCTGTCGGACAGATGTGGAAGTGTGTTTCTCACATCACAGCGTTTGCTTTTGTTTTGATTAATTGTGAGTCTGTGTCCAGCATGGTGACGTGTTTCTGAGTGTGTTTGTGGAGACTGTACATTGATGAAAAGCAGCACTGTTGTCCATGTACAGAGCAGAGTTCACCTCCTTCAAAACCCTCAGTGTTTGGAGGCTCTCAGGTGTGAGCCAGCTTTACACCCAGGTTGTTGTCAACTTGAAGTTTACACATAATTGAATTTTCCTCTGTAGTGGTCATTCATATTCATTCAGGTTAACCAGGTGGAGAGTTGACAATGCTCACATAAAACCTGGATCTACCTGTCGCTCAGGTGTAGACATACAACGTTACTAATGTGGGCTGATGCCTTTTAGTTTTACATAATACAATTAAGGTGCTCTTAAAGGAACAGTTTGGTTATAATCAATATCTTACCTGTTGTAGATGGCTTCTTGAAGTTTGAAGTTTAATACTGACGGAACTAATGAGGCAGTCTGACTGCAGAACTAGACCGGAGTTGATTGGTGGTGATTTGAAACACCTGCTCCCCACTCCTCCTGAAATAAATAAATGTCTGATTGTACTTTATTTTGAAAGGCTTACAATGTGGAAACTATTACAGATGTAACAATGAATTGATCCGCATCGAWATATTGATTAAATAATTAACGATTTTAACAATTAACTATTTGCACTTTTGCAAACTTCAGTCGATATCCTGTACCTTTATCCCTTATTAATTTCTTAGTATTTAAGTGTTTTTTTTTTTTTTTCCGTCTGGTTGTCTCTTGGCATTCACTGTGGACGGCAAAGTCAGAATGTCACTCATTGTTCAGGGAAACATGTTTCATCTGTGAATATGACAATAAACACTTTAAATCTTGAGTTCACTTAAATTAAGGATATAACAAAAACAATCCATGTTGTCATCATATGCATTTCTGTCTTTGAACAGTTTATTCTACAATAATGTGTGGTGTGTAGCTGCTTACTATTTCACATTGTGTCCTGATGCATCTCAGTAATCCAGGTAAAAAATCAAAAAGAAAAAAATTGTATAGGTCTTCTGGACGGGTTCTTCTCTAATGAAACGTTTCGTCTCTCCTCCAAGAGACTTCTTCAGTCTGAGAGTTTCAGGCAAAATTCAGGCTTTTAAGCCCTGCCTCCATGTGACTGATACTCACATCACATGGCTATCGTTGACACCTAATTAACACCTATTGTTAACAGGGGGTGGAGTGATACTGGCAATAGCCGCACTGTAGGAGGGGGACAACTGAAAACGGAGGCCTCCACCTCTGTTTAATGATGGACGGTCTTTCTTCACAAAAAGAAGAGGAGTAAAAGAAGCCATTTTTGTGAAGAAAGACCGTCCATCATTAAACAGAGGTGGAGGCCTCCGTTTTCAGTTGTCCCCCTCCTACAGCGCGGCCATTGCCAGTATCACTCCACCCCCTGTTAACAATAAGTGTTAATTAGGTGTCAACGATAGCCATGTGATGTATCAGTCACATGGAGGCAGGGCTTAAAAGCCTGAATTTTGCCTGAAACTCTCAGACTGAAGAAGTCTCTTGRAGGAGAGACGAAACGTTTCATTAGAGAAGAACCCGTCCAGAAGACCTATACAATTTTTTTTCTTTTTGATTTTTTATTTCACATTGTGTGTTTTTGTTTAGTTAATGCATTAAGATGGCCACCCATATGCACTGTAGGCCTTTTTTGAACTGCAACCAATATTCACATTTTTTCCACAATCTAAGAGTACTAGAACGAAACTCCCACGAACATCAGGGTTCACTGTAATATCATATTGTGATAATAAAGCTGGTGATTTAGTTCCACATTGATCCAGTGGACTGGTTGAAATGAAGGAATATAAAGATCCTGGGTTACCAGGATTAGCAGTAACACACATCTCTGCACTGGAAGCTACTGTTTTACTAGAGGGGTTGTCAGGTGCAGAACTTGGCGTTCGTAAACAATAATTCACCAGAAGTTCTAAGTGTGTGGTCATGATCATTTTTTTTAAAAACACGAAAAAGGCAAGTTGTAATTTTGAAAGTAGCTGCTTAGATTGGTCACTTGTTTAAAATGTTTTCAACAGTTTGCTGTGCAGAAACTAGCCCTGCAKGAATGAAAACTGAACTASAGAAGTTGCATTTCCTGCAAAAAACGCGTTGTGAATGCTTAATGCTGAACGATTTGTGCTGAATAGCTAAAACACTGAAATTGGCTTAAAAATAGTTTGAAGGAGTAGCTGAAATCAACACAAAGAAACAAAGAGAGCATGTTTGCTGATTTAAGCAGTAAGAAGCTGAAATTATCACAAAAAGTTGATTTGTTTTCTGAAAAGGGTCAAAAGTAGCTAAAAACACAGAACAGCCGAAATTAGCAGAAAGCTGCTGAGAGAAACACAAAAAGTTGAAATTAGCTGAAGAATAGCAGAGCGGGTCAGAAGGATAGCTAAAAAAAGGCAGATAAAAGATAGTCAGCAAAATAGCAGCCGAAGGAAACTGAAATTAGCATAAAGAAGTTAAAAAAGCAGAACCTGAATAAATGGTTTAAAAGTACAGTCAAGACTTAAGAACATTTTAAAGGGTTTTAAGGATGTTGAAGACAGCTTTGTTCATTTTTAATGAGAAAAAGGTGGCAGAAGAAGCTAAATATTTCAAAAGGTAGAAATTTCTTAAATAGCAAAAGTGTGAAATGCTTTTCTCCCACCTTTAACTCTGGTGTCAGTTTCACATCCCACAGTTGTGCATGTTGGAATCCACAATTATTTACAAGCACAAACAGCAGCGACATGTAGCACTTCCAGGTCATCCAGGGCACAGGTCTGGCAGGGTTTCTTAGTACTTCTGTTAAAATAATCATGTGAATTGTGTCGTATAAAGATTTAAGTAATCAAATTTGCATGAATGTCTGTGGAAATTTGAAGGTTGAACTTGCTTTAAGATGGCAGCAGTCCTCTTAAATATTGGGGTTCATTTAGGTTTTATCAACATACAGGGCACCAGACTAACTTTCTGTACKGGTTGCACTGCTCCATCTACATTTTTAAAGGTATTTTTCTCTCTGATGCTCTGACGACAAACAGCAGTGTGGTTATAAAAACAGAGCAGAGCGTGACATTGGTTGTCTTGTTTCAATCTGAGCCACAAAAACTGGACTAGTCAGTTTTTCCTAAAATCAGATATTTTATCCTTTTTGTGCTATTTGTTTATTTTATTATGTTATTGACTTTTATTTAACCAGGCAAATCCCATTAAGATCACATCTGTTTTGCAAGGGAGGCCTGGTACTGAAGGCAACCTATTTGGTTGGCTTTTCCTCTGAGGTTAATGCTGTCATTCTTTTCCAAAATTTAAATAAATCCAATCTTTATTTAAAAAAATAATTCTTTTTGATTTTTTTCTACCTGGATTAATGCATCAGGACAGGACTGCAATCACTTTTCTTTATTAGCTACTTCTTTTTTTTCCCAATAAAGCCAATGGGCCTCATGC